AAAAAAAAACGTCGAAAAATCGATTGGTGTTGTCAGAATAGACCAAAATAATAGTATATTTATCCCGGTCAAATCAGCTGTTAAAAATGACTGCTTAATCCAAAACTAACCTTTTCCATGCATGAAAATTATATTTAAATAATCAAAACGTACTTTTTCCAGTTTTACGCCAAAACGTGCTATTGCAGTATTGCCCATGTTAAAATAATAGGCGCTAATCATTAACTATACCAAAACGAACTATTTCCGTAAATTATTCCAAAACGTACTTTTTTTTACGTTATGTTAAAACGTACAATCTATTGCCCGTGTTGTAGGTACAGGGAAATAAAATAGTTAATCCAAAAGGTACTAAAATATAATTAATACCTAATTTATAATATTAAATTATTATCACAATCATTAAGTTTGAAATTAAATTAAAAATATAATCCTAGATTATTAAACACATTTGAGTCGTTTTTATAAGAGTACGTTGTACGTAACAGTGGTATTTGTTGTCTCCGTCTTACCAGTGCGTAATAAACCAACGTAAAAACACAGATAATGTTCTTACCATCAAGTTTCATAATAGGTCGGTTCACTGTAATTTATAAGCTAAAGGAGTTACAAGTGTTCTGCTGAGTGTAAATTTGCTATATTACGCACTGGTGAGGCGGAGACAACAAATACCACTGTTACGTACTCTTTATAGAAATAATATATTATTAAATAATTTAAAAAATCTTCCTTGTCTTCAAAATTACTGATCAATTTATAAACGGCATGCTTATATTGATAATGAATGTGTAATGTTCCAGCTAATATTTACTATGACCACGATGCAGTTATTGTTTGTTGCTCGCTTAGTCGCACGACACACACTCCCATTGTTTTATAACAATAATATTAATAAACTATTAAATATGAATACAAAGAAAAGATCTAGAAAACTGGCGGAAGCTGCAATTAAAATGAACGTAAGTATACATATTATTCATTAATTTATTTTAATAGGTATATTAGTAGATAATTTATACTGTAGGTACTTCTAATTTATTATAATATGCTTATATTCTTTACCCTATGGTTTATATTTTTATAAGCTATAACTTTATAGGTAGTATAATCTATACTATCTGTTAAACATGTCAAATATAAGTTAAGACACTAAACAATTATTACCTAGATACATTAATGAAGTTGATTTAGGTAAAGTATGTATTATTTATAATTTCTTGTATGCACTGTCAACCTGGTATAATAGTTAGGTACAAAAATCAAAATTCTACTCAATGTATATCTACACAGTACCTACACTTCATACCTAGGTAGTTAAAAAAGTATTAAATTAATATATTTTTTTTTAATAACCTACCTATTTAATTCGTATGCATCATAGAGTATAGACACATATTCTTAGTATATTTATACAGTAGGTATGAAAATTAATATTGGAAATTCAGTAGATGTAGATAATAATACAGCTTCTGACTCTCAAATTAATTTACCTACTGAATATTATAATATATTATAAGTTCATTTAGTTTTAATAATTATTTTGATTTAGAAAAACCAACAAAATACAACAGCTGTAGCTGTAGCAAGACAGCTATTTTTGCTAAAAACCATTTAAATATGTATACCACTATAGTCATTGATTTAAATATCTACTTATTATTCAGAAACTTAAGATCAATATTATTTTATTGTAATTTAATATCATAAGAGTTATTAACTACCAAAAAAATTGRAGATGTCACATTAGAATTAATTATTTACGTGTCATATATTAAGCATATTATTTTAGAATAATCGTAAAAAAAGTTAAAATGTAAATACAATAAATTAGAWATCAATTATATTTTTATTTTGGAAAAAGCACATTTTGGAGTGAATTTTATTAGGTTTTCCAAAACGAAATATTTCCATTAAATTTTCTAAAACGAACTATTTCCATTAAATTAATGGAAAAGGTACGTTTTGGATTATTTTACATTTTTATACAACAAAAAAATAGGATTTATACCTACTTAAAAATTTTTTTTTAAATCGCTTTAACTCATACTTCACATTTATAGTACTTTAGTTAATTGACATTGGGTCACAAAGGGCCAAGGGGATATAGAAAATCGCTTCTCCTGAAAAATCAGCAATAGTACGTTTTTGATTTCCACCCCTCATATATATTGGTACCTATTTACATTGTTGGGGCGGCAACATATATGTTATACATTATAAATAATTAAGTAGTTAATTTAAAGTTTGGAATAAATAATATTGTTCCTTACGCTTTGCCTAACCCGGTGTATACATTCAACACATAATCCAGTTCATTTTGTTTGTCCGCAATCTCTGCTTTCAAATTGTTGATCTTAGAACGATAGTACTTGGATGATTCTTTGGATCCATGTGAACGTTTCAATATGATAGTTTGCTTCTATAACACGAAGTATACAGTTCAGTCAAGTCAAATAATATGTAAAATAAAAAATATAAATTATATAGGTAGATCTTTACTTCTACGATTTCAGTTTGCTCTTGTATCTTTTCCATCATTTGCTTTGTGATCTCAGCATGATTTCTAAAAAAATAATACTCTCATAAAAAAATTTAAACTAAAAATTTAATTTAATATTTCTATAAATATATAATTTGTATTTTATCTTATGAGAGTAGGTATAGTTTTGATCACATGATATTTCGATTAACGATAGTCACTGTGCAGCCGTGCAGGTATATATAGGTATTATAAATTATCATCATCATYATAACTGGCTTTTATAACTCTATTAGGCTAGTCGCTGACTGGCAATTTTCAGTTGCGCAATAGTTTAATTGCATGGGTGACTTCCACAGTGATATGTGACAATGAGCTCACATGCAACTAATCAGTTTGACCAACTAATTAGTTTGTGTTTTGCCACAAATCGTTCGATTGCGTGATTACTATCGCGCAACTGAAAATTGCCAGTCAGCGACTATAGCCTTAGAGTTTTTTCCGCCAACACTATGTCCCTCCATTTCTCTCGATCTTGTATAATTTCCTTCCATTCTTTAACTCCCACAGTTTTAAGATCCTCTTCTATTATTTCAAGCCATCTCTTCCTTGGTCTGCCTCGAGATAATAATATTTGATAATATACCTACCTATCAATATAAATATAATATGTTGTTACTAATCTTTAACTTACTGAGCTGCTTCTCTATCCTGCATGTCTACCATGAGCGAGTTACTGCGTTTTTGATTGATTTTCTTCATCAAAATTTCGCTTTTAGCCTTTCGTTCATTAAGTTTTTGAACCAAGCAATCCAAGCTTTCTTGAGCCGCTTTTAACATTGCTAAATAATAAATATGTATACATTATTTAAATTATTTCTTACCGTATAAATGTGTATAAATATACAATTAAACTAGGTAATACTTTATTGATTTAATATTGTAATCAGGGTTGGGCAGTATCTTCGATACAATTGTATCTTCGATACAATTGTATCTTGTACCTCATTACAATTATATGAAGTATCGAGTATCTTGTATCACGATACATTTTTGGTCAATGTATTTAGTATTTCATAAAATAATTTATGATGCGATGCGATATAAGATACAATAAAATTCTGATTTTATTATCAAAATACCAATTAAGAAATAATAATAAT